AGAGGACATGCAATCGGAGTTCGTGTCCGGCCATCATTAGCCGGGCCCAGCTCCGGCCATGAAAACTCCATTAAAACTCCCCACGGGTGTCATTATTCCTGAGCATCGGAGGCACTTCAGCGGCGGAGCCAGGACGATGAAGGGGCGAGGGGGGAAGGAGGGGGGGAAGGAGGGGGGGAAGGAGGGGGGGAAGGAGGGGGGGGAAGGAGGGACCTCTTTAACGTCCTATCAGTTCCCAGAATTTCAAATTTTGCCTCAATTACATAATTGTACCCGCGGTTTGACGAGAAATCCTCGCGAAATGAGATCCATTAAAGATCGTCAGTGACAACCTGGAAATGAGAAAGTATTCGTTTCTCGGTCGTTTCTCATCGTTGCGGGGCAGTCGGAGGGGAGCCACACGTCAATTTTCTTCATTCCGGTTTCTCTCTCTTGCAGCCTTTCATTCGGGTTTTTAATGGCTATTTATTTTCATCCATTCTGGTATAACATTTCCTGATAATTATATTTATTAAGCTTATTCGATTATGTTGGCCGTCGTTCATTATCGTAATTTAAACTCTCTCCGGTCGTTGAAAATGAGTCCAGATGAGAGGCCATGGACGTCGACAGTGTTGCACCCGATGTTGGCCATTACGACGTTCATGCTCAGCTGATTTCAGATTATACGTCGTTTTCCTGCCTCTCACAAACTCGGTATGAAATAAAAATTTTTCGCCTCACGCGAACTCGCCATCCAAATTGTCCGAAAGAGATTGGAAGACATAAAGTAATTTGGTCGGGAGACCTCCATCCAATAAAGTCATCGACGGTGGGCTCCGTAATGGCCATTAAATCCGAATGGCCAGCCATCAATCATGGAGGAGATACTTTTCTATGGTCCTATCAACCACGGACCCCTTTGTGGCCGGCTCCCAATTAAGGGCCGACCCGGAAACTTTACATTTTATACATTATCTGTGTATCTGACAGCTCGGGGAAAGAGAGATGATATCTGTTCATGCGATCTCTCCTGGAACATCTGCTTCTGGCAACTCCCAACTTCGGCTCTTTTTTTTTTAATTCTCTCCATCCGTTGAACGTTCACATTTTGGGGGACAGCTGATCGATTAGGCGTTTTCATCGATTAATCGAACAATAACCAGTCTCATTAATTATATTAGAGAAGAAAAGGATCGCTGAATGGAAGACCGCGAATTGCTGTTTTAACACCTCGAGAACTGGCATTGGAATAGAAATTCATTAATCATCATTCCGGATTAACAGAAGCCGTTTCGGGAAGGGTTTGAGAACCGATTGCAGCTCGATTAATGGGCATTTAAGCTTTAATCGATTAATCAACTCGACTTGACAGGCCCAGGTTTTCTAAGCCTACAAATTCGGGCTTCGGTGAGACGCCAAAAAAAGAAATGAAATGCGGCTAGCTCCTTTAAGATGTGAGGTTTTATTAAGGGAATATCCTTCGAGATTACAATATTGCACTGAGGGCAGAAAGAAATCCAACAACGATCTACAAGTGATCCCGTCAAGCAAAAGAGGTCTTGATTGTCATATGGAAACACGACAGAAAAAGAATTTCATTCAAATTTTCTTCTCCGGTTGGTGAAATGAGAAAGAAGAGGTTTATCACATCCAAGTTCCGTCAGACGTCGACGGAACGTGCGAATCGAAGACTAGGAAATCGCCAAGAATTCCTTCTCACTTCGCTTCCTTTGGTGCTCTCTCGACATCACAATCTTGATATGAGGGTACACAAATATACGCACGATGGCGGTAATTCAACGGGGAGGGAAGAAGCTGAGGGGAGGATACAGGGAACCCAGGGCTGGGTGGGGTGCCAGCGGTGGTGGTGCCACGACACCGGGGGGCTTCGCGTAAGGGTGATACCGAGCCATGCTCAGCTGGGAATACCGATACAGGGGGTTATTCATGAACGAATGGTGGAGCGAAGGGAAGAGGGGCAAGGACGCGGCACTGTCGCTGGTGGTAGGACTCGTGTGGGTCCGCAGATGCTGCAGCAGTTCTTCCGACGACGCAAAGCACTTCCCACAGTACGTCTCACCCACGATCCAGTTGCAGACGTAGGGGCGGTGGGCGAGGATGGATGGCGTCGGGGCGGCTGCAGCCTTGTGGCGCTCGCATTGGGTACAGTCTCGCGGACAGCCGTTGTTGGATGAGGCGGCAGCCGCGGCTGCAAGAAGTTGCGCTCCCATGAATTGACACCCCGTACAGTATGGATCTCGGCAGGCGAGGTCCCCGGTCTTCAATCGGGCGTAGGGACTCAAAAGAGGACTGTAACCCTGCGAGAACGGGGCCAGGCTCCGATGGAGGCTGGTATCCACGGTCGGGAACCCAAAAAAGCCGAGACCGTTGTACCCACCCAGGGATCCCAGGTGGCGACTGTAGGGGGAGGTGATGGACGCATCCGCGGTCTTCGCGGATGGGGATTGTCGACTGGAGGCAGGCGAACTCTTCCCACCTCCGTCCTCGCGCGGAGAATCCTTGCCGGAGGAGGAAGACTTGAAAGAGAGATCCGTCGGTGCAGCCGCAGAGGCCTTTGGGCTTCCGGCCGAAGATTTGTTGTTGTTGTTACCGTCAGGTGACGCTCGATAGTTGGCGTCATCCAGTTGACGTCCCTCTTCCTCACCGGATGTCGAGGACTGGTCTTCCGGCAATCGTTTCGGATCGATATGGGGCGAGCCATTCCTCCCCTTCCGATCTCCGGAGCTCGCCCCATCTTTCTTCTTCTCTATCGGGGGAATGATGGGCTTGCTGTTGCTCATGTCTGCCCCGATCTGACTGCATGTCTGGGCCAAGAGTGCCAAGGGGCTCTTCTTGGCGTCCAACTGTAAAAACAATGAGATAACGATGTATTCCTCGCTTTCCACTCGTGAAGTACATCAACTCGGAGCTTAAAACCAAGATAGGGAAGTCGACGCTAATAACTTAACATTAGTCCAACATTTTCCTGCGTAGTAGAGATCAATAAATCCCCACTACCACATCAGGCCCTCATCTTAAGGTCAAAGATGTCAAACGGTGAGAAGTCTTTCTCTCGGATGATGTGACACAGACAGAACGAGTGACGTGTTTAGGTCGAACCACTTAATGTTTGGAGTGACAGACGCACACTACTTCGAAAGGCTTCACGTTTCCCATTCGCCACTGCACGTCGCAGAGGTCAGATTGTTGGCCTAACTCGGTGGCCTTGGTGACCATCGATAGCTATTACTCTTTAACTGCGAGGTATGTAGCTCACGCTTTAACAACCTGCTGATCTTCCGTATTCGTGTCATGCAGGCTCTTTTCCAATTACCCGATCAATTAAGCAACAAGTCACAATTAAAACGAATGAGATGTAGGACATGAGCAATTCATGATGAGCCCTTTCGGCCTTCGAGTAGCCCTTTCCAATACCCCCACGTGACTGCAGTTTCAAAATCTCAGCTTACCACGTCATCAAGATATACCAAGCTACGCATTTTAAAATATTCATACATACCACGACATATCACGGCAATAAATCATTTATTCATTTGGACCACTTATAGTCGCGAATTGAAAGAAAACTGCGGCATTGGAGACGATAGTTCAATTGCTTATGGAAAAAAAGTAGTTCAGCTTTCCATCTCCTTCTCGCAAAGGTAGAGTTTCAAGGGCTTAAAGAAATGTTTCAACAAAGTAAGCCTTACCAACTAATTAGTTGTACAGGCCTATGGCGTATCGCCAGAGTTCCACTACTTCTCGGCGATAATTCGAATGGGAAATGAAAGATTTACGGTATTCGCAGCGTGATTATTTGATGGAACAACGCACGAAAGACCACAGAGGATGCTTTGGGCATGTTGTTATGGGCGCTGTTGCTATGGGCATCCGGCAGCCCCACGGTCCGCGTTCGAACATTTCAACGCACTGAAACGAGCAACAATCTCATCGAATCAGGCCGAGGATGCAAATAATGGCGAAACGCACGGAGCACGAAGGCGTTCCCCACTCTCCAATAAACATTATTGGCAATCACACGGAAGAAATTTCGAATGAATATATTAGTCTCGTATTCTAACGCGAAAATATTGACTCATAAATGCAGAATTTATGGGATTGTCGGCAGGAACTGGTAAATCGCCAACCGATCCGTGATTAACAGCTGAAACATGACTGTATTATTAAATAGCATCATCAGCATAAAAAGCTGGTGAATATTTGAGAGCCCCGTCCCATCACCTGGGCGAAATGAGCACCGTTCGTTTGCAGCTTGGTTTACGTTGCATGATGGATCGAGCAGCGATGTCGGCATTAAGCTTTCATGAAATTGCGCACGAGATCAATGAATTGTTCGTTGAATGCGTTCCACTTTGGCTGCGCTGCCACGAAGACGTGTCGGGGTGGTTATGAGACAGCGCACGCACGCCTCACAACACACTTTTTGGGAGTTTTAAGTAATTCCGAGTAAGCTTAAGCAAGTTTAAGTCGTCCGAAGGTTCGGATCATAAGCTTAGGATCGTTCCGTGGATAATTTAACGCACGAATTAAAAACTCTGGAGCAAGTACTCACCGTGGTGGGGAGGGGCGAGAGGTATTCGGGCCTGAGGTACTGATTCGCACCGCCGGACGTGATCATGACGGAATCACGTCAGCCTTGAGCTCAACAGAAGCGAGAGACGAGAGAGCGAGACGATGCGAACGAGACGAGATCCAGCACGAGACTGAGGAGGGCGCCGTCGGAGTGGAGGGTAATGGCGGGACAGGCGCAGAAGCCCCGCCGAGTCGACTGACACCCGCCCCTTGACACGTGACCCGCTGACCCCGCTCCTCGGGCGCTCGAGACCGCTGCAATACCGGTAGCGCTTTCGTCCCGTGTGTCTTCATCGCCCCCGATTCCTCTGAGCATTCATCGCCCCCGATTCCTCTGAGCATTCGACGCCCCCGATTCCTCTTCCTCGAGGATTCTTCGATCCTTCGCGCCGTTACGTATTAAATCATCGGAGGGGATGATAACATTTTATTGGCTTGTTGCCGATCTCGGAAAACCCCATTTACAAGTGAGATCGATCTCGCTTCCATCGTTCCCACAAACTTTCTCTCGCAATCCCC